GTCTGTGTCCATGTGTATATGTGTGATAACAAGAGCCGTCCTCATCAAAACAGTGAAACAGAAGTTTTCTTTCTAATACATAGTTTTAAAAACAAAACAAAATGAAACCTAGAGACCTCAGAAGTCAGTTACAAAGCGCAGCCCAGAAAACCTTGTCTCCTCAGCCCTTCTGCTGTACCTTCATCACCTAAATGAGAGGCTGCATGCTAATAAGTATTTCTTTTTTGGTCCCATTTCCTGAAAGCATAATTTAAATCAGTCTAATAGAGGTAAACCAAGCTGTTTAGGGGCTAAATTTGGTTTCCTTCTGGTTCAGGGTTGTTTGGTTTCTGTGCTGATTAGTTTTTGCTGACTTGATAAAACTAGACATACCTAGAAAGAGGGAACCTCAGTCAAGGAATTTACTTCATCCTATTGGCCTATGGACAAGTCTGGGAGGCATTTAATTGCTAATTGATGTAGGAAGACCCAGCCTACTGTGGGTGGTGCCATCCCTAGATAGGTGGGCCTGTGTGGTACAAGGCAGCTGCAGGCCAGGTAACAGTGCTTCTCCAGTCTCCGCTTCAGCTCCTGCCTCCGGTTTCCTTCCTTGACTTCCTGCCCTGACTCCCTCAGTAAAGAAGTGTTACCTGGAAATGTAAGAGGAAATTAAACTCTCTCCTCCACTGTTGATTTTGGTCATAGTGTTTATCACAGCAAGCAACAGAGAAAGTAACCCAAAACACTTTTTATACTTTCTTCCATTGATATGTAAGGTTGTTCTCTGGGTAGTTTTTGTCCTTATTTTTTTTCTTGCGGCAAGGTCTCACTATGTAGTTGACCTGGAACGCTTATGTAGATTGGGTTGGCCTCGATCTTGTCCTGATTCTCCTCTCTGTCTCATGACTGCTGGCATTATAGGTGTGTATCGCCACACCTGCCTTTAAAATGCAAGCTTTAAAGCTTATAGAAGATAGGAATAAAATCTGTACAGTTTGTATTTATCTTGACTAGCCATATGCTCAGCATAAAGTCTTTTATAGAAAAAAATTTATAGCTCCAGTTTTTCTTCTTTGTGTATGCTGCCTACAAAGTTTGTTTTAGTGAAAAGTCTTGTTTGGCTTAGTGCTTGTGGCTGAAGGCCCTGAGAGGAGTACCCTGAGGCAGCTTGCTGGATCTGTCCTGCTTCTTAGCTAAACAGTGCTGTGAAGTCCAGCAGCAGCTGTTAGCTCAGCATGCTCCATGGCCACCTATTCTTTCTCAGGGTAATGGCATATCCATTTATTTTACATATGAAAAAATGAGACTTAGAAATTAAGGCCGCCCAGCACATGGAAACGTGGGTCTTCCTGACATCACACCCACACTTTGTGTCCTGCCCTCCACCTCTCTGGGCTGCTGGATCAGAACATCTGGAGTGGCTTTCCAATGAGATGAGAAATAGCTGGCTCTGTGCTCCACGGAGACATGTCCCTTGGGGCATGAAGACCTTCACTAGCTGGTCAGTTCTCATTGTGGAGGACTCCCTGGAGGGATGTAGGAATACCAGAAAAGCCTAATAGTGAGATGCAAAGCAACCCAGAGCTGCTTGGTGGCCTGCTCAAACCAGCGGTAGCGTGGAAGACGCACAGCACTTCCCAGGTCCCACGGGTTCTTCTGAGTGCTGGCTGTGCCAGTCGGGCTGCTGGTCAGGGACTCTCAGGTTCAAGCTGCAGTGGGTCCCTGTAGAGTGAAGGAGGAAGCAAGAAATAGTATGGTTCCTAGGCACACTTCCTTCTTCTATTGGTGCTCTTGAGACCAGGAAAGCAGCAGCACATGGTTGCTGTGACTTTCCTTAGAAAGCCAACTTTGGATAAGACAGAACAGTCATATTTGCTGTTGAGAGCAGAGCAAGGGACTTGTTAGACTAAAATATCTTTCACGGAGTGATAGTATCATTGAACTTGAGCGTACTTTCAGAGGTCATCTTGTCTCACACTGTGACCATTACAGGCATGGCAGCTCACAACTGCTAATTAATTAGCAGTTCTTACAGTTATTTTAATGTGTTGTGCTAGATAGTGTTAGTTGTCAATTTGACGCACCTGGGAAGAAGGAGCCTTGATTGGGGAATTATCTCTGTGGGATTGGCCTATGGGCATGCTGGTGAGGCATTTTCTTGATTGTTGAGTGGTATGGAAGGGCCCAGACCACTGTGGGTGGTGCCATACCTGGGCAGGTGGTTCTGGGTTGTATAAGAAAGTAGACTGGGCACAAGCCAGGGAAGCAAGTCCGTAAGCAGTGTTCAGCTTCAAGTCCATAGCTTCTGCTTCACTGCCTCCTCCAGGCTCCTGCCCTGTGGTCACCGCCAGTGGCATCCACTCCTCCATTCTCGTGGGTGCTGCTCCTTCGTTCTCACGGGTGTCAAGGCTGCTCCTCCGCTCGCCCTGGGCTAAGGCCACTCTTCTGCTGCCTCCTGTTGTCACTGCTTCTGCCTGGTCCCCGACCCCAGGGCTGGTGAGGAGACTGTGTCAGTGGAACCACATTCAGACACAGGAGACCAGGTTCAGTGACACAGGTCTGGTTTATTGTAGGAAGGCGCAAGCTTATATGGGGTAGTGGTCCAATCACAGCACAGCAAGTAGGATACCTTATTAGCATCATCCTATTAGTATAACAGACTTAACATCCTACCACAGAATAGAGGGTACGATGCCTCATTAGCATACTGGGTTTTAGATTACAGAGCCTGGATACCTGGAAATCACGTGACCCCGACAGTTACAATATCACCCTAGGCTCAAGCTTGTCTCCCACACTGCCCTGCTTGCGTTTTCTCAATGATGAACTGTTATGTGGAAGTAAAAACCAAATAAACCCTTTCCTCCTCAAGTTGGTTTTGGTCAATGATTTCGTAGCAGTACTAGAAAGTAACTGGGAGGTGTCATGACCAGCATTCTTAGAGTTGAAATATGGCAGCTGATTTGAGCACTTTCTCAGGTGTTTTCAATGTGAGCATTTAATTCACAAAATCAACATAGCAGATTACTTTTCTCATTGTAGTAACCAGATTATCTGACAAAAAGCAGCTTTTATTTTGGCTCCTGGTTTGAGAAGGCATATCCCATCATGGCCGGGAGTGCACATGGCAGCTGGAGTATGAGGCTTGCTAGCTTACCTCATGGTGGGTCAGGAAACAAAGAGCTCTGGCTGGAGCTAGGCTCTAACCCACTGGGCTCTTCCCCAAATCATTCCTTCTTCATTCAGTCCCCAAATCCTAAAATTTCCACATCCTCAAAATAGCACCACCCCCAGGAGAACAAGTTCAAGCACATGAGCCTGTGTTTTTCACTCAAGCTCTCTAACATGAAAAAAAAAATTTCTTTTTCATTTTTTTGGAAAAAGGGTCTCACATTGTATGCTAGGCTCATCTAGAACTCATTATGTAGCCCAGGATAGCCTTGAATATGGGACAGTCCTCCTGCCTCAGCTTCCTGAGTGCTGAGCAGTAAGCCACTGTGCCTGACTTAGAAGAAATTTCTTGAAAGAACTAACTTCAAAATAAAACTGGGTATAGCCTTGAGGCAGGTTTGTTTGAGGGGGAATCTTTCAGCGGCTTTTATGAGCAATTAAGACTGCATAAGTCTCTTCTTGTCATCCTGTCTTCATCACTGTCATGGAGCAAAATGTGGCAGGCTCCCATCACATCACTAACACTCACATATGCTGAGTTTTAATTGCCTGTTTTCCTACTGTTTGTTCAGCTAGACAGTAATATCCTTGAGGGCAGAATTGTATCTTTATTATTTCAGTGCTCAGCATCTGTGGAACTCCTAACCATTTTTCAAAACTAATCCTGATGCCCCTTTCTCTCATTTGTTTATTCAACAAATACTTGTGAGAGCTACAAAGTGCTAGAT